TCACCACACAAACAAACACCACACACACACACACACACACACACACACACACACACACACACACACGCCAGGAGAGAGAAAGCCAGCCTAGGGCAGTATGGCCTAGTCTGCTACTGGCCGAGAACGGGTTTCTGGATGGTTGCCTCTGCGTTTGGAAGCAAAACCCGCACAGAGAAACAAAACCCTATTCGCTCCTCAGCACCCCATCGTCCCGAAGAACAGATAATTGAGTCCTGGCCGGCTCCGGTTTGGCTAAGAATCTGTAGCAGTGGATTCCTAGGCCACTTCCGAAGTATGCCGGTGGAAGGCCAGCAGGGTACCGGCATCTGTGAGCGCCAAGCGCTGGGAGAAATACTCATTGTCCCTGGGCATGAAGAACTGAGTGTATCACAGAGGTCGGGGCTTCGTTGTGCCCACTGTGGCTCCCACCCCACAAGTGTAACGATCCTGTGGACAGTCCTTAATTAGACAAATTTGTTCCTCGTTACTGAGATTCACCGCGGACCACTCAGAACTGGATTACTTCATTTTCCTCTCTTTTCGTTGGGGTTGATTTAACAGAAAACACATTTCATCGAAAGAGTCTGGCATTCCCATCCCCTTCTCTTAAGGCGAGATTGGAACAGAATAGTCCACTTCTCCTAATAACCTTTTAGGCTGGGGCTCCCACCCACTCTACCCCCTGCTTTTCTTATTTTCTTTTATAGTGAGTTTCATTGTGCCTGGGGTTTGTCATGACAGGGTTCAGCTGAATGCAAGGTGATTTCTCTCAGTAGGAAACAATAATCCGGTTAATTGAGCCACTGGGGAGGGAGGCTTTTCAGCTGGAGAGGCTGGGCTTCCCGTCAGGGAGGGAGCCTGGAGCCTGAGCACCCGTGCACTTAGGAGTCCTGGAAAAACTCTGCCCCAGTTCGCCTTTCTACCTCCACTGGGAGGGTTCAGAACCCTCAGGGACGAAGATGACTTTTCCTCCCAGAAAGCCTAAAGCTTATCCTTGTTCAAACCCCAAACTTGATATCGAAGAAATCTTACTTTTCCTCGCCCGTCCCCTTAATTATTACTTGGACTACTTATAACAATCCCTCATTCCGGTGGGATGGTCAGCCACTTTTTATTTTCTTTTAACTTTAGTCATTTCCTAGCTCTGCTGGAGCCTTTAGGACTCACTGAGTTCAGTCTGTCTCTGTCTGTCTACCTTGTGTCCATTTCTCAGACTGACCTGCATGCTAGCAGCCTATACCCTGAGGGCTAGAGATCTTTCCTGTGTGGAATGAAGCCCTGGTTTGCGTTCTTCAAGAATCTGGCCAGTGTACTGCTGCCAGCTGCCTTACTTCCAAAGCCCCGGTCCAACTTCAGTAAATACTGTTTAAGAAACCTTTCAGGACAGAAACTTGTGATGGGACTGGCCTTTTCCTCACCCTTGCCTCATTTCGTCCTTGGAGGAAATGACTCAGTATTCTGTGGCTAGGTGGTGATGGGCTTAAATGCATGTACCTGGTTCCTGTGTCTGTCTCTCAAGCCAGTTCCCTAACTCTGCAAAAGTCACTTCTGTTTGACAAATGTGCTAGGCCTGGCTTTGCTCTGCCAATATACTCCCCCACACACACACACACACACACATGCTCGAGAACACACACACACACACACACACACACACCCCACACACACACACATGCTCGAGAACACACACACACACACACACACACACACACACACACACACACCCCTTTCACAGAGTTTTAAGTGCAAAAGCAGCAGCCAGTGCCTAGAAGTGGCTGCAACTTTCCGCAGCAGCATCCTGTGCTCCAAACCTGTTTAAGTGATATGTAGACAGCCGGCTCTCGGCTCTCTCGTCATCTCCCTGCTCAGATATCATCAGGGACAGGAGAAGAAAATTGATATTCCAATTATCTTAAACGAAATGGAATCTCTCCTCAAAATCCTGCTTAGGGGCAAAAACATAAAAGGAGGCAACTGTTCATACAGGCAGGGCTGGACCAGATTGTTCTTTGCTTTAACCATGAAGCTAGGAAGAGCTGGTTGCAAATTGTAAGGAATAACACACACACACACACACACACACACACACACACACACACACATTTTATCTGCCTTTCATTCACACACCTTTTTCCAAGGTTAATTCTCTTTGCTTCTCTAAATAGGTGGGGTGGGGGGGCTTCTGGGGCCAAGTTTCCCAAATGCCTCTAGACCTCTAGACCTCTTACTGAGTGCTGTGGTTGGAACTGCCAGCTTTCTAGATTTGATGGGTCCATGGCCCGTTTGAAGGAGACCTAGCCATTTCCACTGGGGAAGAAGAGAGCAATGAGATGTGGACTAGAACCACTGAGGGGCTTCAGTTTGGAGTGCAGGTCTACCCCCCAAAGAGTTATTGGTTGGGAGGAAGAATTAAGTGACTCTAACTACATAGTTGTGTAATTTAGCACACATGAATGCCAGGAGATGCAGGCAGCAATAAAGCTGACTTTATAACAAAGTATTGGTTCAAAGATATTAGGATATTAATTGTAGTAGTTGCAAAGCCAAGAGCAGTCTCCACCAGGTTCTAGTTTTCTGCTGGTTGGCATAGAGCTCCATCCCCTGCTCCGTCTGACACCCAGGGCCTCTGCCACTTAACTTCTTCCTGGAAAGAACATTGTGCCCCTGGACCTTATAAACCGCTAAAGTCAAGTTGGAGCCTAAATATAAGAAACAAAACTAAAGAATGTTCTCTTTCTTTCCTCCCTCCCTCTCTTCATTTTTTATTTCTTCTCATCTTTCCCCTTTCTTTTTAATCCCATCTCAGCTCCTTAGTTAAGACACAATGAAAAGGGAACCACTGCAAAGATCCCCAAAGTGAAAACGGGAGTAACTGGACCTGTCACTCAGGCACCTCTAGGCCTGAATGCAGCCTGGTGATCACTACTTAAGACCCAATTCAGGGAGAGCTGCTGTGTGGAAGGACGTGGGGGCCTTCCCCCTCAGAACCAGCCAGCTGGCCAGGCTGCCTGTTTCTTCTTCAAACTGATCTCTTCATTTGCAGGTTCACAGGCCTCAGACTATACTCCCCAATGGGTGGGGAGGCCCACTTTCTCATCTTGTTGGGAAATTCAGATTAAGGGCCAGAAGATTGTTGCTGTACTAGGGCTCTGGCAGGAATTTTCTGCCAGGCTTTCACTCCAACAAAACAGCACCCTCCAAGCTTTGCACTGTTGCAAGCTCTCCTCCCTGGGAACTTCAGCACAACTGGTGGAGGAGTTATGGTCCCAGCTGGGAATTTAGAAAGTTTGCTCTGTACTTCTGGTGAGGCTTTCCCTCCCTTACACAAAATATCCCCCTCAACTTCTCCCTGCCACACACACACTGAACTCTTTGTTGCTCCAGGGTCCAACCTTAGGGCTGGCAGAGCAGTGGAGACTATACCAACTCCCAGCCTGGCCCTGGACAACCCCTGAGGTGACTATGTACCTGTCTCCAAGTGTGTGCTCTCAAGTTCCAAGTGTCACTTTTTAGAAACACCTGTCTCCCGTTTTCACCTCGTTTCTTACCTTTGTACTCAGAGTCCGACGAGGCGCTGCTGACACTTTTGTCCAGCTTGTCGCGAAAGTCCTCCCCGGCCTTGGCCGCAAGGCGGCCCCCAGGCTCAGGGGCTGCAGGCTGACCGCTGCTAGAATAGGGTGCACACGCTGCTAGAGGTTTGCAGTCAGCAAGGATGTCTCTGATCAGAAAGGAGGAGGTGACGGTTCTTGACTGGGCTGGGGCTGAAAGCTGCCCTGGCTGCAGGTGAGAGTCCAAACCTGGGCCAGATGCCGCACTGGGCCTCGAGGTACTGGTCTCCAGACAGTCTCTTCCGGGCGAGGCTGGAGAAGAGCAGTCGCTACTGCTCTCTGAGCGTGGACTCAGCTCCAGGGGTGAACGGCAGTCCCCAAGCAAGGGGTCCCCCTTGGGAAGGGCGGGGCTGCTCGCTCGGTGGGAGAGAATGGAGTCAATCCCAAAGCCATTGGAGCCTTCCATAGCCAAACTGC